CATGGTGGCACTATGGACTGAATATGAAATATTCACTTCTATAATAGAAAAAGATTTTGACCAGTGTCCCACCAGATGGTTGAAGGCCAATGATGTCAGTTATACTGGTCTAGGAGCATGGATAGTAAATCGCTACAACCTAATTTAACTTTTAATATCTACACTAATATATAAAGCTGAAGATTTTGTTTGTTTGTTTGAACGCCCTAATCTTAGAAAGTACTAAAAACGACGTAAAATCAAATTGATTAGTTAAAACGTTTATCGAGGAAGGATATAGGACATCGCGATGCGATTCATAGAAGAGAGGGAAATGGGGAAACTGGGAAAATTATTCATTCTTGTGGGCTTCCGTTGCGCACGCTACGAAAACGGTTCGAGATACCCAAAAAGAATGTGTGAAAAAAGATTCATCTTTAAATGATTAATTCTACACGGACGTAGTCGCTGACACAGCTTCGGGGGGCAGGTCAATCTCTGTTATCTTTATTATTATAGTAAAAAATGGTCTCTATGCGGCCCTTGTACGGATTTTCGAAGATAAGTTATATCTACTCATAACGATAAGTTCAATATTATCTATTTCGCAAACAATGAGTAAGGCAGCGTGGCCGAGCGGTCTAAGGCGCTGGTTTTAGGCACCAGTCCGAAAGGGCGTGGGTTCGAATCCCACCGCTGTCAGAATCTTTTTTTACAATACGATTGCTGGGATACATGATATGGACATGGTTAGATAGTGGGTTACGATTATTTCAATACATATGTCATTTATGATTTTTGTTTTTTAATTTAAAACAATATGTCAATATAATTCAATACAAACAATGCAACGTTTTTCTTACACCCGCGGTATCTATGTTGCAAGATGTTTTTATGTCCACATTATAAAAAACAAATAGACAAGATTTTTTTATGGAAATTATTTATTATATTTTTCGGGACCTAAAGCCAGAACCTCTTGCTTAAAACAATGCTAAACAATTAAGCAACTAAGCAATGCTGGGATATCTTATTACGGCAATAATTTATTGTTTTACTGAGACATAAACCCAAGACCGCATTGAGGTACTCTGGTGAACGTCAGATCTGCTATAGACATTCATATAAAAAGTAGGTTGCATATAATAAAAATAGTTTATATCAATCTTACAACTGGTGGTCCACAATGATAAGTAACAATATGATTCATCGTGTGATATTAATTAGAAGCGCGTATCAGCTTGATAGAGATAGCAGGTCGTTCACACTTCAGCCTTTAAATTCCATTGGAATAAAGCCCCGGTGTATTACACGGATTTGAGTCCCGGGAAAACTGAAGCAGAAGCATACTAATTGCACTTTAACTGATCAAGAGAGAATTAGGTATTTAGTAGAAGTAGTTAACGCGAGTAGTACTCATGTAAATGAAACATTTTTAACTGTTTAAACGCGAAGTTATTACTTAAATTAGTTACAAATTCATATTAACTATTGCCAGACGTGTCGGATGTGATCACTTAAAAAGTGATGAATTATAAACAATATTAATTGATATATTTGGCGTTTTAAACCGTTAAAAGTATTTTATTTAGATCTAAGTATTATTAAGACTGGCATTATTGAGTTAATGTTAGAAAATTTGTTATTGCCGCTAGGGCGTAAAATAATATTTCAATTTATAGTAGGCAAGGTGACTTCAGAACGCAAGAAACTAGGGTTAAAATCCTGCTTCAAACCAAATGTTTAAAATTTTATACAAACGCCAAACAATTTAAAGAAGATGCACTCGCTTCTATCGGCGGTGGTTCATGAAGAACAGAATTTCGACGTTCCTATTTAAATAATGTCCAGATTCTCCAAACGTAGTTTAAAATGTTGTGAAGTGACTTATAAAAACATGTTAAAACATGACACAACAAACATGCACAGAATAAAACTGCTTCAATGAAAACTGTTAAGATGATATATTTCCTAAGTTAATACGTTTAATGAGACCAAGATTTCGCTTAAGATTTAATTATTTTTATAACTCACATCTATAAAAACAGTCTGTCGTCTGAGGAGCAATAAAAATACATTTTATTGACATTGACCTTACGACCTGCGACACAGTTTCTGAAGTGCCATTAAAATTCATGCTTTCCTGATAACTGTAGCGTACAATGTTTAAAATGTGTCATGTTTCGTCATGGTCACGTATCTCCAATTAATTGAGCTATCTTGAATTCAGAAATACAAAAAAGTACTTGTACACAATTATAACTTATTACACAATGTGTTCGACCGCCTCTGTAGCCAAATAGTTAAACATATTGCCTAGCATTGCGTTGAGCGCGAGAGGTCCGGGGTTCGAATCCCAGGGAAACAAAAAAAAACATTGTTTCGGTCGGGCAGGACAAAGAAGTCTGATCGACTACTTGCCCGTTAAGAGAACCGACAAAGGACACAAAAATGTGATCGTCCCATGCCCCACGAGTGGGAAACGGGCTTTGACACACAATGAGTTAAGGTAGTTGCAAAATAACACATAGAACTCAAACCCATGGACACTAAACATTTTCAAAAATCTTATCATTTTTTACAGAATTACTAAGTTTATTTTTTTATGTAACCCCATATGAAATAAAAAAATAAGCTATCATGCACATATCTTTACTCTATAGTTCAATAAAATTACACTGTATATAAAGAGAAACTCCATAAAGCTCTGAATTCACCCAGTTTTTATTGATGTAGCCATTCCTTTATAATATGACACATCATATAACAGTATGAATATATCATCATTATAAAAAAACAGCACTGCCCATAGCTAATTTTTGAAAATTACTTTCTCTTTAACTAAGATACCTAAATAGTGCTAAAAAAATAAAATTAAAATGATTAGACATAATTGGACATACAATTTTATATTACATTTTTAGTAGAAAAATAAATAATTGTCTCAAACCCTTCAGCAACAGCATATTATGCTGCATTTAGACGGACTACTGATTAGGCGTTAGCCTTGGTAGGGAAATCACATCCTTTTTCTAGTCTAAGATTGACACTTCTAATCACATGTAATTGGCAGTTTATAACTAATACAGTTGCTGACTTTTTTTATGAAAGAGGAGAACAGAAGAGCCTGGGGTTCACTTGATGGTAGGTGAAATATCCCAGCTAAAGAACATCTAAACAAGATGCTCTGTTAACTTATTTTGGCATTGGATTTTTGGAAGTCCATGGACTGAAAGCAAAACATTTTATGCGGATAGTGAATGGTGAACAGGGCTGAATTTCAATATTTCTATCACACATTTAGGGCAAAAATTACCAAGCAGTGTGTGTTTAAAAAAATTATAAATTCATTAAATAAGTTTTTTTCCGGAGAGGTTTGAACCTTGATGGTTATTTGATTAATTGATTATCAGCCATACATTGCTACAAATTCACCAACTACCCTGTCAATAAAATCCTGTACTCCCAAATTAATACTTCGACTGATAACTATTTTTTTATTATTATACATACTTAATTACACGATATTTGCGGATACAAAATGTGGATAATTTATTATCATTACCATTTCTAATAACAAACTTTTCCCATTGTTTACACAGCTAATTTCAATAATTATATAAACAACTTTATCTCAAAGTGCTGCTAAACTAATTAAGAACATTGTTTCACAATACTTGCAATTAATTGTTTATTGTTATCAAAATGATAGTGAGAAAAGTACACTTCAATTTTAACTTACTTTAGAAAGAAGACTTATGTTTTATCATCCTAATATGAAGTAAATAAATGTAATAATTAATGATTCTTAATAATTTGTATATAAAAAACTTTTTATGTAATTTAAGGGTGATGTTGTAGTAAGCTTAAACATTGAAAAATATTAGCCTTAGCCCTATTTAATTACTTATTTCAATATATTTAGTTCAATTTACATTCATTTTTAAAATTACAGAATGAGTTGAGCTTAATTATAACTAGTTTCAAAGGAAAGGTCACGGAAACTACAACATTATTATAAACACATGACATAGAAACTAAATAAGGACTGTAGACACCAAATACTGTGATTTAAAAGTAGCAATAAGCAATTAATTTTATCATTCTGATAAATTAAACTAATAATCATTTTCTGTTAGCCTTAAATTCATATAGCACTAACTGAATCTATCATGCTGTATATATTGAGTAATTGGTGCTAATTTGTATCATTTGCGGACGCATCGACAAGCCTTTCTGAATATTATAAACAATAAAAAACTAGACTGACTCATACCTAGTTTTGAATTGTGGTTCGCATTCAATGTGCTTTCATTAGAAACGAATTAAAACAAAGTCAAATATAAAGGGCTTTCATGCGATGAATACTTACTGAAATCAAATGAAATAAGCTTCAATTCAAACGAAAGCTCAGGACAAAAAAACTTCACGGGAACAACTGCACCAGTCACTTATTACACCCACGAACAACTATCATGTCCGATTTGTGCGTTGTTTGATGAATTAAAAATAAATTACATTTTTACAATTAAAACAAGCTCATAACGATATATACACTACAGTCTAAAATAATTATAAACATCGGATTCTAAAATAAGCATCGAACACCTTGCATCACTCGCGTCAAGAAGACTACTTTTTTTTCTTTACCTTTTTGAGAGTAGGCTTTGAGTGTAAATTGCCACTGTCACAGTAAATGATAGAAAATGTAACATCAGTATTTGTCTGCGTCAATTGTAATTGTCCAAAATGTTCCATTACACGCTTTAATAAATATAAAATTGTTCTTAACATACTCAATGTTCCAAAATGTAAATAATATTGGGTATATTATTATCACTTCGAGAAATATAACCCATATATTAGTGTAAAGTGATATGATGAGAATGATAAAAATACTTTCTCTATAGCGCAACAAAAATTTTACACTTTTGCATTAAAGATGTGCGGAGCTGTCAAATAAAATTGTCAATCTTGTAGAGGTCTCGCGTAACACGAAACGTTTAATGTAGTCCATTAAAATGGCTTCGTTGGTCAATGTTTTGTTGCGAAAATCCGCTAGTTTTAGCGGTTCTAAAGGTCTTTTAAAGAATATACCCGCAATTTACAATGTGAAGTGAGTGTACATTCAATTAAAAGTAGCTTTAAAGCTCAACTTTCGGTGTATTTATGATATAAAAATTATGTAACTGTTAAGGTTATATTTTGCGTATTATTAATTGAATAATTAATTAAACATTCATTTAACTTTGTAAATAAATTATTATTGAATAGCAAAAAGATTTGACTTTTGTGTTAAGATTGCTACGCCCTTTTTATACAGTAAAGTGTCTTGTACTGGTGCCAATATTTTGAATACTAACCCAGCGAATGTTTGTTCCACTTTGTTGGATAATTTGGATTCATATATTACAAGAGTAATTTGGACAATAATTTGATTGATTAGACTTTGTCAAACACTAATAAATAAAACAATGCAATGTACATTGTTTAGGTTCATGAAAAAGAATTAAATAGAAATGTAAACATTTAATATGTATATATATACACATCAGCTAGACTGTTTCTTAAGCAAGAGAACTTCTGGTTTGGAATCCCTGTAATTTTTTTTGGCATGGTAGTCTGAACTATGTTCATACATAAAATCAATGACAAGAATAAGCAAAAATATCTGCCTCATAGTCCACTTAAACTTAAATAATTTACTGTAATACTTTTTATTTTTAATCGAATTGTATATATTGTTTTTGTATTTAGCCAAGACCGCAAAGGCCATAGATGGATGCCAGATTTGCATTTCATCAAGCAATTTGAGGGTCCTGTTATGTTTGCTGATGAATTGGGCGTGCCTTTAGCACATCCTCCTTATCATGGTATGTACCAAGAATTTTATATTAAATTATTTCTTCTTGAAATTTAAACTATAGACTCTCACATTTCCAACTCACAACTACTACAAATTAAAGAGGTGAATGGTGTTTAACAAATTTTAATTAAGTAATTTTAAAGTCCACTGAACTGCTAATTCAATATTTGTTTTTTTACAGGTATTGTTACCCCCACTGAAAAACAAGTGAAGAACATGATCATCAACTTTGGTCCCCAGCATCCAGCTGCTCACGGTGTACTGCGGCTTGTACTTGAATTGGATGGAGAGGTAACTTTCCAATGAATTACATGTTTTGCTGTTATTTTTACTCGGATATTCGAAAACCCCCACATTTCCACTTGACAACTGTTTAAGTTATGGATGGTGGTTCGTGAGCAAGATGAAATTTCAATATCCATACTACCTGCCTAATATTCAGATTAAGTCATACATGTTTAAAAAAAATTATAAAGCTGTTGAACATTTAAAAACAATTATATGGCTGTACATTGTTACCATTACAATGAGCCCTTCATATTTATTGTTGCAAGATATCTATATTTACCAGCAAAATCATGAAAACAATTATTCATTATGTCTACACTCTTTTCAGACAGTTCGCGGTGCCGACCCTCACATTGGTCTCCTCCACCGTGGTACTGAGAAGCTCATAGAATACAAGACATACACCCAAGCGTTACCCTACTTTGATCGCCTGGACTATGTATCTATGATGTGCAATGAACAATGCTACAGTCTTGCAGTGGAGAAATTGCTCAACATTGATATTCCTTTGAGGGCTAAATACATAAGAAGTAAGATTAAGGATCTTTTTTAACAATAGAGACAAACAGACAAGCGTGGGATTCACTTGATGATGCCCATATTTCTTCTAACTTGACAGTTTATTCATCTGTGGTCAGTAGATGGGTTGTGACCCGGATGAAATCATGACAAACATGTTTCAGAAAAATTAAAAATTGATAAGAAACTTGTAGGACTCGGTGGGGACCTGTAGTTGAGTATTATATATAATGAGTACATTGCAAGCATTGGACAAGTGAGCCTGACAAAAATAATGTTACAAGTAAATTCTTTTTATTCTATGATAGGTTCTAAACATTTGTTTTTTTTTTCCAGCTCTCTTTGCGGAAATAACTCGCATCTTAAATCACATAATGGCTGTTGGAACTCACGCCTTGGATGTGGGAGCGCTAACCCCCTTCTTCTGGCTTTTCGAAGAGAGAGAGAAAATGATGGAATTTTACGAGAGAGTCAGTGGTGCTAGGATGCACGCGGCTTACATACGTCCCGGTGGTGTTTCTTTGGTATGTTAAGATATTTGAAATTCAGCTTTTTGTTTAAGTAGCAAATGGCTTAAATAAAGTCTACAGTGTAATACTGAGTATAATGATGTCATATTATGTATTGTCTGTAGTACACATTTAAATAAAACGCCATTAACGGTTTAAAACGCAATATATGTATCCCTAACTAATATATTAAAAAGTGAAGTGTTTTATTTAGACATACTTTTTTTATTCTAAGGGAAATTTATTAAGTAGTTTTTGCATAATGCATATTTTTTATTATTATAGGATATGCCCCTCGGATTGATGGACGATATTTACGAGTTCTCGAGCAAGTTCGCCGAGCGGCTCGACGAAGTTGAGGATGTTCTCACGACAAACAGGATTTGGGTGCAGCGGACCAAGGATATTGGTATTGTCACTGCACAGGATGCACTTAATTATGGATTCAGGTATTTTGAACTAAAGAAATTTTACAAAATTATTTATTTATTTATTATTGCTTTATTATTTATAAAACACACCACAGAAAATACACATAAATGAGGAAAAATCTTATGTGCTAACTTATAAATACTTGTTTTTCTGGTACATTACTATTGTCAGAGACTTCAGGGTCGAATGTTCATAAATATTTTTCAAAAGTATTTTATCTCATTTTGTGATTAAATATAAAATACGCCAATACTTGCAATATTAACTAGTACATTACTTATAATGTTTTCCACTTAAGTCACAGTTATGTAAAATATCAAATGATTATATGAGCGCTGTGAAACAGATGAATGGTATGGTTTTGCTAAAAGTCAGTGTTGTAGCATAACCCTGCCACTTATGCTGACGCAAGACCCTTTTGGCATCACTTTTAAACTAAATTTAATCTTTCTTTTTTTCTCGAAATTTAATTTTACCTACCTATGTCGCGTGTTAAACCGTTAGAAGTGTTTTATTTTAATAAAAATCGTTAATATTTCAGCGGTGTCATGTTACGCGGTTCGGGCATCAAATGGGACCTGCGTAAGACTCAGCCGTACGACGCGTACCATCTGGTGGACTTTGATGTACCTATCGGCACCAATGGAGACTGTTATGACAGGTAAATTGGATTCATATTTATATACATACACTACTAACCCATACTAGGGCAAACCTGTGCTCAGGGGGAACCGTCTCTTCCAAGTTTTAAGATGTATATAATTAAGATCTTAAATAACTTAGACAGACAATAATTAAATTATATAATAATTAAATTATAGTAGACATAAATTCTAAAATGTTGTGAATGAGGGAGTGGAGTGGAATGTTTTGTATGTTGATAGATGTGTCACAAAGAATATCATTGCTAACGTAATGTAAAAAAGTATGTTATGCTTTATTCAGTTGTCTTATTTTATCGATTATTAATTGAAAAAAATTTCGACACGGGTAGGACTTCAACCGTCATCCAAATTGCGAAACACTTAAATGGCAAAATTATCTACTATGAATTCAAGTGCAACTTATCTGAACAGATACCTGATCCGCGTGGAGGAGATGCGTCAGTCGCTGCGCATCATCGAGCAGTGTCTCAACCAGATGCCGGCTGGCGAGGTCAAGACGGACGATGCCAAGCTGACACCGCCATCTAGGGAGGAGATGAAGGTAATACTTCTCCTTAATCATTTTCAGAAGGATTAGTATTTATTTGTATAGGAGTGTAGTAATCATAACAATTTAACTTTTAATGGTTTAAAACGCGAAATATATAAGTATGCTTATTATCAACTCCCATCCAACGTTACGAACGCTTAGTAGTTGTGAGAAAGTACATAATGTGGTAATAAGGGTCGTAGTTAAAATAATGTTAACTAATACTTTTTGCTTTATTCTTTTAAACCGTTTACTAACGTTTCTTAATAATTACCTCAATTTTTTTATTGTTTTCAGACCTCCATGGAAGCCTTAATCCACCACTTCAAGTTATTCACACAAGGCTACCAAGTCCCCCCTGGCTCCACTTACACGGCCATAGAGGCTCCTAAAGGCGAATTCGGAATTTATCTAGTGTCCGACGGTGGTTCAAAGCCTTATAGGTATAATTTCTTAATTTTAATATGTAAAGTTGAAGAATTTGTTTATCGATTGGGACAAAACTAATAAAAAAATACCTATGTACTTGGCGATAACTTATTTCGTGGCAGTAGTCGCTAAAAGCCATTAACCAACACACAAGCAGCGGGGTGGGTCAAAAATCTGTAATCTTTTAAGAGATCTGTGTCCAACAGTGGGACATTAAGAAGAACACTTATATTTTTTCAGATGCAAAATCAAAGCACCCGGCTTCGCTCATCTCGCAGCTCTAGAAAAAATTGGCAAGAACCTAATGTTGGCGGATATCGTAGCAATCATCGGAACACTCGACGTCGTGTTCGGAGAAATCGACAGATAAACATGCAAACATAGTGATGGGTAATAAAGAGACATCGATCAATCTAGAATATTCCACTTATACGAAATATTAAACTTAGTATAGTGCTTTAAATTTCACTTAAAACTACATTTTTGAAGATGTATGTCTCTTTATTATCGTTATTTAGGAATCAATTGTGTGTAGATTATGTACATTCTTAAGTTTAAGCAATAAATTATGTAAAACAATATTTTTTAAATATATTAGTGGAGAAATGATTACTAGTACGTCTTTAGTGGCGGGTGAGTAATCCTAGACAGCTTTTCAATTTTACCGACCGGTGTAATGGACTTGCCAAACAGCAATTAGTAGACTGTACGATTAAATGACAAAAGGAATAGACACGCAAACTCCTGGTACTCCCTGGGTCCTCTTCTTTTGTGGTTGCGCCCCCAAAATACTACTCTTCAACTGCGTTACAAACAATAGCGGAGTACGTTGCAAAAATATAATTTAATGGAAAGTCACGAAACTGCGATGTCTTCCTTCCCGACAGCAGAAAAGCGGTAATTTAATAAGCTTTGAACTGTAAAAATATTAGGAAATTATTAAATAAGATAAATTAAAGTAATGAAAAAAAAATGAAGGTTGATCCTTTTTTTTTTTTTTCAAAATTTAAGTTAACAAAATGGCGGACAGCGGGTGACAGGAGGTTGAAACCTGTGTTGCCATTTATAAATTTAAATTTGGCGAAACCCGACGTTTGATGAGACCCTACAATTTTCGGGTACAATATATCTCACCGAAAAAATATATATTTGAATCATTTGCTTAAAAATATGCCATTCGTTACCGGTCACCAAGATCATTGTTTCGAATGTGCCATGGTTTGAATACAGGGCAACTATCATTGTCAAGCAAGTATATAACAGTAGGACAATATTTTTTATGTTATATATCTCTCACCGTAATCTAACAATATAAAAGCTAATAAGTTGCCTGTTTGAAGCGTTATCTCAGGAACATCATGGGTTTCAAATTGAAAAAATATTTTCGGTTGTTAGAACTACGAGGAGTACAGCTGTAAATGAAAAGGCCAAATTATTCATCATTATGGTCGAGGAGTACACTTAAACGTCCTTATACTCAAAAAATATGTATGAGAGAACAATTGCTCTTTTAATGATCGAAAAAAGTCCGCGACGTTATGTCTATCTTTTAACTAACTTGCAAGCCTAAGTTTATAAAGGGGTTTGCAAACACGAATTTGGTTGCCCAAAATTAATATTCTCAGCGGACGGAGTCGCTGGCACAGCTAGTTAAAAATAAACAGCATATTACTGTAGTATACAAATTTATTATATATTCGTCTTGACAACTTTCGCAATAATCACGTGTAAATCAATCAATAATTTTTGTAGGAATTATAAAACAGTCGGCCTACCATAAAAACCTTAAGTAAACACACTTTAACGATTTAAAATATATTTAAAAGCCTATTAAATTTCAAAGATCATACTTTGCGTCTCATAGATTCTTTGATATTTCGAAGATAGAACTAAAAATATAAGACGTTGTTAACGTGAGTGGTACACATTAATCATTTAACTGCTTAAAACTTGAAATATGATTAAAGTTATTTCTAACTACAACACTAGCTTCGAATGTTTTAAAACTCGCTTTAGACCACAGCTAATTATGTAATAATTTTCACGTATTTCGAGAAACTAGTACCAATAAAAACATTAGTGACGTCTTCCATCTTCAGTCCCCCATGACCACGGCTGGCGGTTGGCACGTAGTTAAAAGTAAATTAACCATTTTTTGTTTAAAATGTGTACTCAAATTAAAAAATTCCAAATGTATAGTATTTACTCCTTGTCGTATCGATATACACAAAACGAATGTCAAATTATTATGAATTGGTAAAAAATTATATAATTCTACGATCATATAAAAGACTAACGGCATTTATTGCTTATTAAGATGGAACCATGGAAGATATGTTTCAGGCCTTTTGTCTAGTTTATTTCACCCTTTTCTGTTGTCTCTGCCGATAGATATCATTGACAGGTGGAGCAACACCCAATTCGTCATCGTCGGAATCTTCGCCAGCTTTTCTTCTTCGAGCCTGGGAATTTGTATGGATATCAGAAGTGGGATTATAAAAAAAAAAAAAAAAAAAATAAACCAAACCCCCCAAAAAAAAACCCTTTTAAACTGTGTTGCCATATTGCTATATTGCCGTGTGACTGATTAAATCAGCCTGAAAAGTGTATTAGTATAAACTGAAGTGATAAGACAGTTAATTAGGTTTTACGTGATATGATGTATGAGTTTATACTTTTTACCTTAAAATTTAAAACAAAAGTGTCATATATATTATTTTCGGGTTTTAAACTCTTGGTTGAGGGTCTTACTTGATCTATATTGGTCGTATATTCTATACTATACTATAATATATTTACATACTATTGTTTTAAATGCCTTACCTTATTAGTGACTGTTGTGAGACCGTCGTCGTCCACAATCCAATGCACTGACCGAGCCAGATCAAAGAGCTTCGTGTCACAGCCGTTTTCTTGCGTCGGCGCAGGGGCTAGATGAAAATAGAGAGAACACTACATTGACAAATTTTTGGCATCTTGTAATAACTTTGATATCGAGTTTATTTAGCAAAACTTACAAATAATTTTAACATTCATGTATCCTAGTGGAACTGTTGTCTTACAAAGATTTAAATATAAGTGTGTAAACGCAAAAATACAATAATATCCAGATTTCCAGACGAAGTCCAACACGTTTCAAAAATTGTTAGATTCGGTGGTAATAGAACCTGTTGATTAGCAAAAATGTGTATTTTTATAACACACGTAATAAAGTCGATTTCAATACTTACGTTTATCAGGCAGAGAAATTCTATTGAAGAGCGATATGAGCCTATCGACAGCCACAAATGGTCCTCGGAATGAGGAGGGTGGGGGCATCAGTGTACAGAGGTGAGCAGCTGCCGGGGGCATGGGGAACGCACCACCTGTTTAATTTAAAGAATAAAATACTGTGGAGAAATGGATATATTTTTAGACATTACGGTTTATAGTTTACATTTCTACTTTGTAGTAGTCAAAGAATTCTTACCAGATATAGGGTGTTCTCCAGGTAGCGGGTTCGATTTCGGCTTGTACGGTATCATCTGACTTGTGTCTGGGCGAGCTATGTCCTTATTTGGATCATTGTCTCTGCAATAAATTACTTATTTATGAATGATAAATTATATTTGTCAAATCTTACGCACCCTACTTGGGATGGACTTACCCACAAATAAACGCCATTTAATAAGTAATATAGTAACAAAATATTTGTATAGGACTAGGTTGGTATAAATAGTAAAGTGAAAATATTTGTAATTGGTAACATCAGGAGATATGCTGGGCGTTTTTAGATTAGGCAAAGACAAAACTTCGCAAAATTTTTGGCTAAGTAGCCTGTCAAATTGCGAAAGCCTTCAACAATGTAGGTACGTAATGTATTGCTATATAAAAAAGTAAAAATAAATATGATCATACTTCTGTCCCAGTATGACGGCTGCAAGTTCAGGAGATACGCCAGCTAGGGCACCTCCAAGTGCCCAAGACTTATTTGACATAGCTGCCACCTAAACAAAAGAAAGTAGCAATGCCATACAATGTCACGTTATTTTCAGCTATTTACACAATTTCATGGAAAACGTTAGACGGAGTCATGGTAAGGACCTGCTAGATCTAGTTCCCTAAACCCTCAAACTGTGCAATATCTCTCATATCGTCAATGAAAATAAAATCTTGGAATCAGTAAAACTACCTGGGGGTTAAGGGGGGGGGGGGGGGGGGGGGGGGGGGGGTGGGGGGGGGGGGGGGGGGGGGGGGGGGGGGGGGGAAAAGAAAGCTGCTAGGGTTACAACTAGACGTCATTATTATTATTAGGCTATATATAGCACGTCATCTTTTTCTGTAGTTTTATCACAATTGGTAAGGGCAACCTTTAAAAGAGACCTAACAAACTTTTGAATTTCCTATACCCTAGGATATTGTACAAATGTATAAAATATGCACGCAGAAAGGGTTTTAGACATATTATAATTACCTCAGTATATCCTATAGACTTCAGCTCAGCAATAGTACAGGGATAGAGATCGAGGAACTTGTACCTGTCCACCAATTGAGCTGTCTCCTTGCCTTCGAATTCTTTTATCTGGACAGGTGTTAAAAATGTTTAAAGCCTATTCAACATTCATTTATTGTACTGAAATGCAAAAGGCAGTAATATATGAGGCCGCTAGAGACAGAGTAGCCTAATTGCAATTTTATGACTCGAGTTATTTATATTTTCATAGTCTAAAAGTGTTAATTTAAAGTGATCAAAAATTGTTACAATATTTTTAAGTTACATTCATTTTCGCCTAAGATAATTGCGCAATTTAATTTTTCTCCTTATGGAAAATCATGTTTTTTGTAATTAGACCTCTAGCAGCCTGATATATATATGTTAAATAATAGTTCTTAATTTGTTGTTCAGTTATCATAAATCATAATAAAGCTCTTCACCATTTCTTAATTATCTTTATATTCGTAATTTCTACAGGCATGATTAAAATCATACTTATACCTTCTCTAACACAGCTTGTCTTCTCTTCTCGACTTTGACGATGCTCACCAGATCACCGATATTCGATTCGAACTCCAGAAATCGGTTCCAAATGTCGACGGAACTTTCCGGCTTCAAGCTACCAGATGATAAAACTCTCTCGAACAAGACACGCGTGTTGTTATCCTCTGGAGAAGAAAAAAATTACGGTTATGATCTCTCGCATCTTAAAAAGAGAAAATGGTTTGAAGTATTTTATTTTATCTTGTATTTTAATGCAAACACTACGTATATCAATTGAAACTTACAATAAAATTGAACCTTCCAAACTAAAGCAGAGTGGTGGGTAGTAGTAAAAGTAGTTAAAAAAAATGTCAAATAAGTGTAACTAATATATCGCGTTTTGAACCGTTAAAATGTTTTATTTTAAACTTATCTGAAAATTATTTTTTTTAACTACTTGTCTCCCCGTGACCACGGCTGCTGCAAGGCATCCGAAACGTCGGGCCGTAGTTAAAAATAATTTTCTAATAAGTTTAACTAATGTATATCACGTTTTAAACAGTTAATGTCTCTCATTTAAATGCCTACTGTCGCGTAAACTAATTCGAGTAATTTTATCAAAATATATACTATAAAAATCTCACCATTAAGATGCGACAGATAGTCGATATAACACAAAACATATTCTGGTATATGAGAGAACTTCTTCAGTCCCAGTTCGAATATCCTGAACGCGATGTTCTTGTCCTTCGAGCAGTAGTACTCCATCAGGGCTGCCGCTACGAAGACGTGATAGCGAGATCTGGAAAGTAGTTCTCATAAAGAAACAGTAATTTGGAAAAATCTAGATCACCTAAATAAAATATACTTTAAAATTGTAAAAATTAATTAGATTGTCAAACATGGTTGTTTGTCTGTGTGTCGTGATACGACACAGTGTTCCGAAGAGTAACGTGACCGGGAAAAACACCCAAGAAACTCAGTCCGGCTTTTCTAAACATGTCTTATAAACTAATACATTTTTGTGAATTGATCCTTCTTATTAAAGAAATCGTTCAAACAATAATATGCCCATTGAGACAATCTAAATTTTATGACTTTTTAAATTTATATTGATAAATATGCAACCTCAACATACGAATACAATTCCCCGCAAATGAATTAGATATTTATAGAGCCTATATTTGGGGATAGCTAGCTTATCCTTATTTCGTAGGCTCAAATTATACCTATCACTATTCTTGATAAACTTGCTCTTATTCTTATAGGCATACAATTTTTTTTTTCATAAATTTACTGTGAGTAAGTATGCCCATATTTAATTGGTGCTTTCTTTAAACTTATTAAGTATCTAGGCGGCCCTTTCCCGAGGCTTTCCCACGGGTAGACATAAATAAGTACAAATATTTAAATTATAAGCATGCTAATTAAAACGACCATACATCGCTAAATTCCTAGCTCTATTTCCTTCAAGTCGCTGCGACGATCCTGCATTTGTTCTGCAAGACGAACCTGAATATTCGACAGATTCTCTGGCTCGCGATTGGGACGCGTACACTCTTTTTACTTTCCAGGTGATCATTTTCAGAAGACTCTCCAATAGATACGACGAACTTTTGCTAATCTCGCTTGGGAACTATTCTTAGATATTTATTTTAAATCAGAGAAATTAAGAATAAACTAATAATAATACAAAAGAAAATATTCAAGTTCAAAGGGATAAGTTCTAAAAAGAAGTTTAACAAATATTATTCAAAGTGTGATTCCTCTTAAAAGAACGTTTTAAGTAAAGCATAAAAATAAATGTAAAAAAAAAAAAAAAAAAAAAAAAAAACCCCCCCCCCCCCAAAAAACCCCCCCCCCCCCCAAAAAAAAAACCAAAGGCCCCCCCGCCCCCCCCCCCCCCCAAAAAAAAAAAAAAAAAAAAAAAAAAAAAATTTTTGAAAGGAAAGGCCCGGGGAAAAAAAAAAAAAAAAAAAAACAAGAAATTTATTAGAGAGAGAAAAAAGTAAAAGTTACAAAACAAAAAAATTTAGACAATGCTCTCCAGTGTAGACATTGATATATTCTATAATATTGTAGAACATTTGTTTGTCCAATCATTAATAGTTTTCGCAGTGTATGCGAAGAAAGACATTTTATGGCTAATTTTTTTACGCCTTTCGTTGGTTTTAGTAAGAATTTCTATAGATGTCTATAGTAATCAAGTACTAAATATAGCCTATGTTACTCAGTGATAATGTAGCTTTTTAATGAAAAAAGAATTATTAATCGACCATACTTTTTGAGAAAATACAAAAAAATCTTTCCTCTTCATAATATTAGTATAGAAAACAGAATGACCGTAAAAATGTTTTAAATTTTATGTACGTAGAATAACTTGTATTCACAAAATAATTAGTGACGTCAGCAAATAAAGATTATAATGTTGGCACGTCTTCATTATTAAGCACTCACCTCGGGTCCTCCCTGGCTCGTTTGAAGACGGTCCTGGCCGATTTTATCCCCTCAGCTCTTCGGGCGAACTTCATATACTGGACGTAGGCGAGCGTCGGTTCTATGTCTTCCATGTCCAGGTAGCGCGTGTATACTTGGTGCACCTGAAAATTTGAAGCAGTTTATACAATATATTTTCCTCAAAAAGCAATAAAAATAGGGATTTTAATTACACTCATTCAGTTTCGGTTTTAGGCGTTAGATAAAAAAAAAACTATTTCGATTTAAATTGGATTTTTAAACGAATCTCAATTTGCTATTACTAGGGTTGGCAAGTGGACTCACCCTTGATCCTTTTTTTAATTTAAACTACATAAAACAGTCAGGTTCTTGTTACCTTATTGTAGTGCAGTCGACTCTCTTCATAGTCCGCATGAGCAAAGTGTAGAAGCGTGGACTGCTTCAGGGGTCCACTCGTTGCCCGCTCGTATACTGCCGCCGCTTCTTCAGAGAACAACTTCGCAGCATTGGAATCCTGGAATCAAACGCTTAATATTGTTAAATAATTCAATAATATTACTGAATTATTTTAATAAACTATTTAACGGGCTCGTTGCTGTAAGGGCAGCAATGTATGGATAATCGAGTTATGGCAATCAACACCGGGTACGACATATTTCTAATCAATTTATAGTGTTCCTGAATCATACTGGGCTTCGTCTGGAAATCTAGATATTAAATGAATGGTAGGAATAACAAAATTCCGCCCGGATCACGAACTGACGTCTACAGATGAAAAACCGATAAGTTTAATAGCGTTTCAGTTCCATTTTATGGATGTCCGAATATCGGAAGCCAAAATAGGTCGACTGCGCATTTTGTTTATATGTCACATGGGGGTATTTTATCTTTGTATATGGTATTCTGCTCTAAAGTTCAAATAACAAATTTTACACACCCCCTTTTCCTGCAAGAGCTTGGCAGAATGGTCCAAGAACTGAGCAGCTTGATGCCAAACATCTGGATGGTGTGCGAGACACAGCAGACACTGCTCTATTGCAAACATCACTCGACGCGCTACTAATGCCGTATCTTCCGAACGGAGGGGGTTAGACCGCTCCCAGGATATGTACTTCTTCCACAACTCCACCTGGAAGATTGAATAACTGAGTAAAGCTAAATTGAACACACACATACATACAAAATACAAGTTGCAAATACTTTCAGAAACCATATGTTACTTAGCTGTTATCACAAAACTAGATTTAGATAATAATATAATAAATAGAAACTACTTTACAGTATTAAGTTCCAGAAAGTGTTTATTTTTCTTTAACAATCATTAAGAAAAGATTACACACAATTGTGCTCTGCATTTTTACCCACGATATAAGTTTTTTTATTCTTAGACTTATCAACTAAATACTTATATATATGTCGGAGGAAGCTATCTATGGAATATGTCTATTGTAAACAAAGTTGATTGTTTATATTGTGCACATTGCACAATATTCAATTATTTGCTCTATTAATTTTAAATATTACTATAAATTTTTCCTTGTTTAATTTAATTCAAATAATTTAGTGTTTTTTCTAACATTGTCATTGTCGTAATTTTAAAAAGACATGTTATTGAATTGTTATGACCAATCAGAGCAGAGCGCGTGTCTCGAGTGGAGTCGAGGCGCCATCTTACAAAAATACGATGTGGTGACATTTGAAGTGCGTGCCGGAGATTGAGTTGGATCTTGAGAGAGGAATCAAGTCAGACAACGTGTTTTGTGTTGGCATTTTACCCCGATGGTGCCCACTAAACCAGCACCTGCAGATCACAATGTCTGCGAGCAGGATGGTTCTCCGATATATATATAATAATTTTACGTTTACTAACTAGCCATGACAAGCATTACTTATCTATATCACAGGAAAAATATAAATTATAATTATCTACATATTAACGGTAAAGTTAAAAGTTGCAATCTAAAATATTGATTCAGAGGAATATTTTAATGTACAAAACATTAACTTTCGCTTATATAAAAAACAAAGTGTTATAACCTGTTTCATTTCCTCCCTATCTGCGGTGGGGGGCGTGGCAGGCATATTCCTGTTAAGACCTCGGGTCACCGTCTCCAACTCCTTAGCCACCCGGCGGGCGTTCATATAGTCTCTAGATCTCTCCATGGCCATTCGTTCAGCTAATGAAGCAGAAAATATTGCATAACATATTGAATTTATTCATCAACATAGAGGACAAACGTTTTATAATATATGTTCTCTGGTTTAGCTAATGTATGTGTATGTATTGTTAATAATCAACGGGTCGTGGTTTCCCACAGGTCTCATTCTAATCAATGTATAATATTTCTGAGACATGTTCATAACATCTAAAAAATTTTGATATTAAATGCGTGGTAGGAATATCAAACTACCGTCCAGAGATGATAATATTAATAAAGTAGAATTTTGTTTAAATTGTGAATTCTCCGAAAAACCCTACCATACCTTTTGAACCTCATACTCGTCTGTCCATCTATGTCATAAAAAATGGTCTATCTATAGCAACCTAGAGAGCCACAAAAATAGAACTATCGGCTAACAACATTCAATTCTCTAAGCAATTTCGAGTTTTAAAAAATAATATTAAATAATTTATTTAAACGTTGTCTAATTCCAGCATTATCAACTGTAATTAAATATGAACCTTTAATATCTTACGAATGGTGTGTATATTATAAATCTTGTTAACCCTGTAAGGGGCAGACAAACATTCATACCATTAACGGTACTTACCAATTATAGTATTAATGCCTTGTTCGAATGCAATGTAGTCCTTCCATAGAGTTTCAATACCTATAATGGGTGTGATTACAGCTCTTTGATAAACCTAGAACACAAAAATATTGTAAACCCATGATATTTGAAAAAAAATATATATAATACAAAAACAAGTCAAGAGTTCTGTTATATTAAAGTTAGGTACCTACTTATAATTTTGTTTTTAGAAAATTACTTTTCAAATATAAACTATCTTTGACTTATCAAGAAAGTTTGCCCCAAGCTTAGTGTGGACCTAATATATTAGTTGTAAAAAAAAAAAATGTCCAAAGTCTATTCAACTGTCGGGTCGTGATCGAAATTTAAACAAAACACAAATAAATTGTTACGTGTTGCAATCTTAGAGAGATATATTTTAATATTATATTACATATTGGTACATTACCTTTCTAACAGCGGAGATTTTTTGGTTCTCAGCGTAGGACCCTACGGCATCCACCGATTTTAAAAATGTCACATAGTCGTTCCAAATTGGATATGCGTGGATGTCCAGACCGATCTTTTCCAACGCGAAGTCATAGGCTTGCGCCATTTTCTCTCTAGAAGAATGATGTAACATTAATTTTGAAAGCTTATATTAATCTTACATATGGTTTATACCTAGAAAAATGGACGCCGGATTGAAAAATAGACCTCTCGCCACAATTCAAAGACATGAATTGTTAAAATATAATATTGACTCAAGACATCAAGACTTAAATTAATGTATAACGTTTTTTAACTCAAGTCGTAGAAAATCCTGCCCTCCCATGCTTATAAGTTTATAAATTATCACCTTAGGTTACTCCTGATGACATAATCACCATCTAGAACCTAGACCTAATGTAATATTTAAACCCTTCCAAAAACTACATAATGTATTACTCACTTATATGTAGGCAGCATACATTTCGTCTCCTTTACATAGTTAAGATATAATCTCCATAATTCGATATTAAGAATTTTCATCAAACAACGTTGAAACAGCTGGGGAAAAAATTAATGCTCCGGTTATATAAAAAACTATATGCCTGAAAATAAAACTATATAACTAAGTTTAAATAAAACACTTCAACGGTTTAAAACGCGATATATTAGTTAAACTTATTTGAAAATTATATTCATTTTTAAATGCACAATAGATTTCTTTAACATAAATAACATATATTTTGTCCTTCAGACTGGAAACTCAGGAGCAGTTATAATGCTGATCTGTTTAAATTTTTTTAAACCTTAAAAATTTGGTCCTCACAATCTATATCAGTATAAATAAAACAAACTTTTAAAACTTAACACTCACCTGAATCACTTTCCATATAGTAAATTTTAATTATTTGCCATTTAATAAATGCCTTACAAAAATCTTTAGTTTATCGAGCATAGTGTCCACTTCAGAAAATATTATTTATAACATTCTAATTTTTATTATATGATGTTATAATTATAACATAGTATATTTTAAAATAATGACATTGTTTTATATTTATAGGAAGTTATGATCATGTGGGTAGGGATAAAATACATGTCAAAAGTGACCTTCTGAAGCATTTTATCTTTTATTGATCTTAATAGGAAACATCTGGGTTTGCTATAATTATATAATGTATAATTCTCATTGAATGCTGCAGAAAATCACCTCCAACATGTCTGAACACAGAGAGCCTAATTGTAAAGAAAAGATATGTCACAAATATTAGCTAATTTGCCTTTATTTCAACTTATACTCTATTACAATTGCTAGTTTATTAATATCACAGTTTTAGGAACTTATTTATAGCAGATCTAGAGACATACATTACATAGATAAAATACTGACCTTTTCCACTTTTTCAAAGTTTCTTGCTTTCATCTAAAAGTAAAAAATACATTATAGTTTCTATGTTCCTTTTTCAACAGTTAGCGGTTGTTTTACTAACAACGAAATAGGAAGGTTTGTTTATGATTTGTTTTATTACAACATGTATATTACATTAATAACTTTAATATAAAATGATATTACTGGCTATGGTTTCAGATTCTAGATTTAATGGAATTATAGATAGATATAGTTTAAATAATGGTCAATACTGTTTGCTTAACTGAGTAAAGTAATAATACAATAACGTTAAATCAATTTCAAAGCAACTGTTTCTCAATTGAAAATATGAGTAAACGCGTGTATGAAGATGTCTTATAGCCTGTGAATTACCTCCTGTTCAATATAGATTTTCCAAAATCTCCCTGTAGTCGGAAAAGCAGTAAGCAGCTTCTCATACATAGTCCGAACTTCATTAATGGGCCTAGTCTGAGCCTCGCGAATGAGAAGCGACCATGAGTCAACATCATACGTGTTTGCTTCAACTGCCCGTTGAGCTCTTATTAAACGCTCGTTTCCCCAATCCTACAAAGAAACCTCCATAAAAAATAGTACTTAAAACACAGTAAGGTTAGAACTAGGTAACTTACAATTTCCACATTATCGTCAAAAGACATTGTTTTGTTTAGTAATGCTAACGCAAGGGCAACGTTACGTATTTAAATTTTAATATAAAATACTAAAAATTACTTATATATATTTAAAATAATTTAAAATAACGCGTCTCTCGCATCAGCCATCTTCAAACATTCAAACCAATTTCAAAATTCAAACACATAATAACATTTAGTGAATTGTCAATGTCAATCATACAATGGTGTATACAAAAAATAAAAATTAAATATGTTCCCGCATAATAAAAAATAAGAAAAGCGTTGATTTGCATAAATGTAATTTTTTTAAATAAAAATCAAATGTAAAATGATTATGTTAAACAAAATATCTTTTTTTCCAGGAATTACGGTATGATGGTGACAACCTAATAATCTAAAACGCCGTTGATCTGTCACTGTCGCGTTACAATAAACAAAACGCGTTCCGCCATCAACATTACAATTGCGAAAAATAATTTAACCGTAACAATGTTGTTTTACTCTTTCTTTAAATCCTTAGTCGGAAAAGACGTAGTTGTTGAGTTGAAAAATGACTTAAGTATTTGCGGAACGCTACATTCGGTCGACCAATACTTGAACATAAAATTGTCAGATATCAGTGTTATAGATCCTGATAAATATCCTCACATGTTGTCAGTGAAGAATTGCTTTATTCGGGGTTCTGTTGTTCGGTATGTGCAGCTACCGGCAGATGAAGTCGATACACAGCTATTGCAAGACGCCGCAAGGAAAGAAGCGACTGTCTCAACAAGATAACCTAATCCATAAAATCTTGCTGTAAATATTTACTTTGTAAGAGTAATCGTCAATAAATTTAATTTAAGTAATTTTGTTTGTTTAATTTAGGTAAATAATATACACATTAACAACAAAAATTGTTTATTCATACATCTTTTTCTTCAATCTCGGGCAAATCTCTATCCGATTCTTGATCAAAATAGCTTTCAGGTACTACATAATTCTCTGGGGGTCTCATTGGTCCATAAATCTTCTTTTCTTTTACTTCTATAATATGTGAAGAGTTGTTAGCTGTTGTTACTAAATCTTGTTTCCCACTATCTTCAGTGTTATCTTTACTGCTTGATGCATCATCAGAAAGCACTTTGTTCTCAGACTTTGACTTATCAAGACGTTGATCTGGTTCTTCGTCTGAATCCATTTCCTCAACAAACTCATTTTCATCTTGCTCTTGCTTTGTCTCTTGTGGTGCCTTTAATTTTTTCTCCATGTTGTCTTTTAACTTTATTCTGGAAACAAATTCATATAATATTATATGCATATAATAGGAAACTTTACTCCTTTATTTAGATATTTAAATCACAAAACATTTTATGTAAGTTTTTAAAGAATTACAAAACATAAATTTCATTACAGGTCATCTAAATGTGTAGATAGTAATAGTAAAATTTGTACAAAGATTTAAAGATATTAGTTAGTACAAAATTTTTAGAATAGTAGGAGAATTTAATTTTGTGTTTAGTGTTCATAATAAAGACATTTCATTTCATATGGTGATTACCTTTTTCCATATACAACAGAATTGGTCTGCTTTATTGAAGGTGTACTTTCATTCTTCTTAATTATAGGCGGCGCATGAGCAGGCCGTGCTAACTCAGCCAACCTCTGCGTCTTCGCAAGTTGCGTTTTAAGTTTTTGTATGTTCATCTGTAAGTCAACAAAAAAATAAGCTTGAAAATAATTTAACTATCTGTGATTCAGATGTATACTTTTATTTACCTTAGCGTTTGATATGTCAGCTTTGTGGGCCATACTCTGTGGAAGCGTCTTCATAAACTCATCTAGTGCGTCTTCATCTTCATTCTCCTTCTGCCGATTGCTAGATCTCAGACGTTCTAAAGATTTGGACTCTGATTCTATAGATGCTTCTAGTTCCGATATTTGTTTTAACTGTAAAAGGATTTGAAATGCTGCATTATTAAAGAACTGAGACTGGCTCTCTAGTCAAATAGTTAAACGTATTGCATTAAGCGCGAGAGGTCCTGGGTTCAAATCCCAGGGAAACAAATAATTGTTTCGGTCAGGCAGGGCCCAGAAGTTTGAACTACTTGCCTATTAAAAAACGGATCAGTGAAGTGGACACAGAAATATGTTCACCCCATGCCCGAGGAGGGGAAACGGGATTTCGCACATAATTTAAGAAATATAACAAAAAAATATATACAAGATATATTAATAATAATGTTAATAGCTCTATAATTATATCACAACAATTAGTTTTGATTTTGGTTGTTACTGTTTTATCAAAATCAGTACCGTTTTGAGTGAATGAGTGAGTCAGACAAGTACCTGTCCTGCTCAGGTTTCATGGATAGTGTAGAAAAATTATTAAAGAACCATCATAGCTCGTACCAGTTGTTCAAATGTTAAGGGCTTCTCGCTCTCTCTCCCTAAAGCACCATGTTTTCGCATCCGTTGTTGTCTCTTTTTTTCCACACTGCCAGTCCTATCCAAGAATGTGTCCTCATCTGAATCATAGTAGTCATCCGCGCTCCAGTCTCGTTGTTTCCTACGACGAGATTCTGAAAGTAACATACATAACATTTATTTGTTACAAAGTAGAAAAAGTTGTTGTTCAGAGTTAACCTCTATTTTATGTTTAATACACAAACAATATTAATAAAGAAACTCTGTACAGTAAATTATTAGGTTAAGCCGTGTCTCGTGCCAAATGTTGCCTAGTGGAAGCCCAGCTTCAAATAAAAACATGTTTTTGTGCTTAACAAAATACTTATACAAGCCAACTAACCATGTTTAGCCTGTCGCAATACACCAGCTCTGTCCAGGATTCTACAAGCTTCCAAAGCGCAAGCAACCACGGCTTCTTTCTTCTTTCCACGATGCATGACTTCTGCAACTACTGGTCTACCATGTGGATCATCCAATGGCAGTTCCACTCTGTAAGTTATTTTCAAGAAGCTATTTTAAGATCTGATAAATGCTTGTACCTATAGATTTCAATAAGATATCGTCACACTTTAATTTATCGATTGATAAGTTTCAGTCTATATTTACCTACAAATAAACTGTCCTACACCCCTTTCCTCACAATCATAGTTCAATTCATGGCCTTCTCTCTCAAAGTATCCCCTTAGTGTTTTCTTTGGGTCTTCCAGGTATAACTCTTCATTAGTAGTCACAGCATATGGGTTATCTGCTAGGTCAGTGGCTTCATCTGCATCTTCCCCTGTAAGAATCATTACAATCATGAGATGACATAATAACATATTACATAATGATATAATAAAAAAATAAATTAAGTAATGTGGTAGTCGATTAAAGACTGAGCTTTTTTACAGCAATATAACTAATACAATAGGTGCCATTTTGATCTCAGCTGCTAAAGCTATAACTTGAAGTAATTAAAACATTTATTTACATATAAATATTTTATAGCAATACTTACCCATTCCCCAATCAATGCCCTGCTCTTCTTTCCTTTTCTCTTCCTCCAATCGCTCTCTCTCTCTCTGTTCCTTAGCTTCTTGAATCATTCTTTGTCTCTCTAACTTCATCTGCTCTGCTCTCCTCTTGATCTCTGTTACTGTTAGTTCAGATTCACCCTCACAATCATAATCAGGACCCTAAATGACACAATATCATTTTTCTCATATTTACAATATGTTTTGTACATATAAAATGATTGAACAATTAGATTACATTGCAATGGCTTCAATACAAAATTCTTACCAACATGACATAAGTCCTCGTACTTGTTCCAAATTTAATCTGATGTCCAACCCGAACCCTTGTATAATGCTTATGTCTTAATGTCTCTTTGTTCAGGAATGTTCCATGTGTACTGCCAAGGTCATATAAGTACCATCCTGAGGCAGGTTCATTGTCTTCAGCAAAAGCCTTGTATTGGAGAACTGCATGATGCCTGCAGAGAGGTTGTAATAAGAAATTTAAAATATTGCATTTGACTATGTAGCAGAACTGAGGACTTTAAAAGCTTAAATTGAAAGATATTCATTAATGTGCTTATAAAATAAAAAAGAAAAAAATGTTGATTAACTTTATACACTTACAGTTCTTCATATTAATAATTCTAGAAATAAGCAAATAATATTGAAGTCCTAACAAATAATAGATTTAAATACCTTGATATCGTAGGGTGTGCCAGAACAATGTCACAATTGGCGAGTCTTCCAATAACAAAATATGGTTTGTTAGTCAACTCTACTTTCTCCATTATCATGCCCGATTTTAAAACTTCCAGGCCATAATCTGTACCTATAATATAAAAACAATAAAATCCATCAATGTTCACGAGCTTATTATTGAATATATTTAAAGCTATGACTTTCTGCAAGTTAAAATTTTAGAACTAGAAAAGCAAAAGCTAATAATCATAAAATTTTCAACTCTCAAAGAGTATCAACTGTACTATAATATATAGTACAGTAGAGCCATATTATCTATTATATGAATAGTAGATATACGTACCATCAGGACACACACCAGACCATTTTGGCTCTTTATAAGGTATAGGAACAGATAACTCCTTCAGTAGTACAGCGGGCGGTAAGGAACTTTTCACTTTTTCCCCTTCCTCGTGTTTGTCAACAGGGTTGCTTTGTTCATCTTCAGACGGCTTATCTGCTTCGGGTTTGGCTTTTTTAGGTAATTTACCGATACGTCCGATTAATACTGGCTTCTTGAATTCTATACTGTCAAGTTTCGGTTCTTCCTTCGGGTTAGTTTGAGTTTCCATATCGTTATCAAAGAAATTCAACACAACTATTACACAGTACTTAGCATAGGCATTTAAACATTACAATACTAAATAACAAAAAGTTTAGTAACCTACTTATTTTTAACAAACAATCACACCGCGAGAATATTATAGCAATTGTCAATGTTAAATCATTGATTAATATTCTATCAATCGTACGTTCAACTGACAATTAACACTTTTATTACTTAGTATCTGTCACATCACAGACTGAATTAGAATTTTATGTCTGTGTATTCTACGGACCTCGCAACTCGGGCTTCGTCTCGTTTCAATCCCGAATACGCTGTGGTGCGGTTATTTCCAAGTTGTTTTCAATTCGCAGAATTTGATTGATTAGATTAAAAAAGCACAACAGTATACGTATAACCATAGCACTCTGCTGTCGGTCTGTGCTTCAATTAAATGCCGTGTTTTAGCATTAGCAACGACCGTGGGAATTGGGTTGTATATTAATTTTCCACAATTCAAAAAACGAATTTGACGTAAACCGTAAACGCGATTATACCTGTGCGTGCCGAGTGCCAGAGAATTGTGTTCTTCTATTTCATACATAAAGTTTCATGATTTGCAAAGAATTATTCTGATGTACCTATTTACTAGGAACAAAATCCGATTGGTAAGTTTAAAATATTTTCTTACTCATCTATCTTGGAATCTCAGTGAAAGTATAATGAAAAGGTCATTTTAAAATACATATAAGTGCAAAGTGTAGATTTTGATTGATTTAAAACAAGTGAAAGTCACACTAGTTACCTATGACATTTAAAGGTTTATTACCAGTTTTTACATTCAACCTCATAATTATTGAAAAAATCTTAACTTCTTCTGTTACTAAGTAATTATTGTAATTTGTTAATAATCATAGATATTTGTGTACAAAGTGTACATTAGATATGGTTGTAATAATTTGATATGAACTTTAATCTATTAAGTAACATTGAAATTACCTTTAGCAAACATATATTACTTAAATTAAGATATTAATAAAAAAATATTTGATTAATATTCTTTATTCTGTATAGAGTCATGTTGTATAACTTAACTGTAATAACTGATTAGTTAATATTTTGGCTACTATGTAGCATTGTAATGGTCAGTGCAGTTTAAAAAATATATATATATATATAATTTGTGTATGGAAAATATCTGATTTGTTGAGATAGGCTAGGTAACTCAGTTTGGCCAACTCGAGTGTGCAAAATAAATTCTAATATTGTTGTATTCTCTTATAAACAATATACAGTAATTTTCAAGTTACTGCCAGAAATATCATCATCAATTGAGTAAAATTATACTTGTGAAGCTATGATAATGTATATGAAATCAATTTTTACATTGATACTGTGAGTAATATGACTTTGATACATGTAAAAAGATAAGATAGTTGATATAAATAGGGTAATATTTTTTTCACATTTGTATGGGTAAACGCCTTACTCTGTCACAGATTCCTAAAGTCTTGTCTAACAACAACTTGTCTGTTATGGATCAATATAATAGTCACATGTATAGTTTCTTTCAAACCCCAGATAGACACCATACCTACCATAGCATACCATATATAGATAGTACCATACATAAGTTATCGGTAAATCATATATGTCGCTTAGAGAAAATTATTGTTGAAAACCTTATCAAATAGGAAGCGCTTAATAAAATAGATAAAAGTAGTACATATTTTAGAAAGTCTCTTATCAGTTAGCACTTGAGATTCTTATCTTCCATATTAGCTTTTATCAGTCAAAGCCACACTTTTTGGTATGATACTAAGTTGTTAGTTTACAATATTCAAATGATGACAAAAAGTAAGTCCACAACAAAATAACAAACAAGTTTTTTATTGACTAATAAAATATGAGGGGTATTTTGTAATCAAAATATTAATAACAAAGTATATGAGGATGAATGTTTGGCACTCTTTTACACACAAAAATATAATAGATAAATAAAACAGACACAGAAATGTCTATAAGGGAAAACTCAGATATTACTTTTAATTGTTTAACATCTCCCCCCAAGTTCTAAGTTTTATTTGTTAGTCTTGTAAATAAAATCTAATGTTATTTAGATAGTCCAATCTGTTTTTCTACTTAGCTATTTAATACTCGCTTATCGTAAACACCTTACGTAATTTGATAATAGGTTAATCGGATTATGATATGTGAATTTTACGAAGCCACAACAATTTCGTCGAAGGACAGGATTTTGCGTGTTAATTTTGACTATCGCATTCTTTAGATCGGCCTTGAAATGTTTGCCCTATCCGTCTACAGATTTTAAAATACCAAAACTTCTGTGTCTTTTGGCGACAGATGAGGTGAATATAATAACTTGATACATTTCAAACAAATTTAACTAATATATATCGCGTTTTAAACCGTTAAAGTGTTTTATTTAAATGTGTACTACTCGCTTAAACTACAGACAGTATTTAGGATAACTTGGGTTAAGAATTAATTAGTACATACGGGAAAGGAAATTTTTGTAACAATTTATCGGACTCGTAGGTGTCGTGGTAGTAAACGGTTTCGGTTCTCACTAGAAATTTTTTTCGATGTGAAAGCTGATTTCTGGAAAAACCTTAATGTGTAATTGCGTTTCGATTAAAATTTTGAGTTTTCTAAAAACTAGTCTCTTATTTAATATTATTTATTTACATGAAAAAAAAAACAATACAAATTAATACTTTAAGATGGAACAGAAGCCTATTAAGGGTTTTTCCGTTTATCTGAAGGTCAATTTAAAAAGACTGAGTACGCTATATTGTGTCAGTTTTTGTTCGAAAAAAGAAAAAGAAAGGATATTCTTGAAAACTTTATTATTTTTTACATATTATTGCACATGAAGGCACCATATATATACCGTGCTGTTGCTCTCGGAACGCTGACGATGCCGGTTCAAGTCCTGCCCGAGTCGAAATTTTTTTCAATTTATTTTCGATTTTTAAATTAAGGATATTCTTCTTAAACAAAGTACCAAAACAATTATTATTAGTTGGAGTTAACATATGTTTTGATGTTGGCAGGTAATACATGTCTTTTGGTTAAATAAAGATGTTAATTATGTATTATATATATATTTAAATTATTGAAAGATATCTACTAATACATAAAGCGGAAGAGTTTGTTTGTTTGAACGCGCTAATCTCGGGAACTACGGGTGCGAATTGATTTTTTTTTGTGTTGGTTAGCGCATTTATCGAGAACGGCTATAGGCTTCGCGCTGTGACTAATAGAAGCGAAGATATAGCAGGGAATTTTTTTTCATCACTGTGGCTTTCAGGTGCGTACGCTGCGAAAACTATTCAAGACATACAAAAAATACGTACAAAAGAATGTTTCCTCTTTAAATGATCTAAAAAATGTTCGTGACACTATATATATATATATCTTCTAAGATTACTTGCAAGAACGACGGGACGCGACCGTTGTCGTGGACAGCTTAATTTTTTAAAGATGTAGAGGTTTGCAAAAACGAATTTGGATGGCCAAAATAACTATTCTACGCGGACAAAGTCGCTGACACAGCTAGTTTAAATATATGATGAAATATTTGACTTCCCTTCTCGACACGGTTAGAGCAACATCCTAGGTTTTTATAATAATTAATGTGTATAAATTTGTGTTTAATGTGAAATAGTGCATTATATAAATGTCCATAATCAATGAAGTAAGTGTTCTTTAATAGGCCTCCAGAGCCCCCCGTTCACCTTAATATGTGGAACCGTCCAACAAAATATCTCTTTATTTCTGTACAGTCAGCATACAAAGTCGTCATCGCGACCTCGATGATTCATTCCGGGCGTCGAAGCAGTTATCCGATAACTGTTCTGTGAGAGTTTAGAACAATTACATGTGACAAAAAAATGTGTTAGGCCGAGGAAAGGTATTCTGTCTTTAACGTGTAATACGTACGACTTGGTACACATCTATACGTAACGCGAAGAGAAAAGAGAAACAAATGCACATCAATAGATAGTTTCATTAATCACTTTTCGGCACATAACAGAGGATAGAGGTTAGACCCACCGCGCTGCCCCTATGCGGGTAGGCGGGTTTTAAATTAGTCATAATAAGAGGCTTTAAGTGCCCTCCGAGGTACTACATCGTTGCATACATTCTTTATTAATGTATTTTTTTAATATTGCGTTTGAAATATGATTATTAGAGTACATATACCTATATATTACTTATAAATGTTGTTTAGGATATTTTTCAGAGCATTTTTTAAAACAGAGAGTTAAAGAAAAGTTATTTTTATAATTCTAATGACGATGCACTGTCGACCTATTTTGGCTTTGGATATTCGGAAGTCCATATATCTACTAACTCCGAAGCGCGATTAAACTTCACAGCTTTTCAACCTGTGGACAGTGGTTCGTGACCCGGATGGAATTTCAACATTCCTACCACCCAATTCGGACCCGGTGGGGATCGAACTTAGTTAATTCTGTTAACATTAAATCAGGTATATTCGCCTCAATTAATATGTCGAGTTATTATTTTAAAACGGATGAACTGGTTGGTATTTTATACAGTTTCTTTTGTCTGCCGTACTTAAAATAGAAATAGTTAAGTTATAAACCGTCAAAAGTGTTATATTTAAAGCTATACAAATAATAATAATGTCTTCTGTTCGACTTGTTAACTAAAATCAACGTGATGAAGGTAAAGAAATGCCACTCCTCAATAATTAATTCGTTCCACGTATGGAAGGTAACGATGTTAAACAATAGGATTGAGACAAAGGCAGGATATGGTGGAAGCAATGAATATTTAATGCGATCTTCATAATGGGTCCATCTTCCAGCTGCGGTATAAAGCTAGACGCAATCTGACACATTAGTGTCTCAGATGCACTATGGAATTCGATTTAGTGTCAAACGAATGGGCTCGTCGTAGTGGTAGCTGTATGGCTAATCAACGTGCCATGGCTTCGATTCCCGCCAACGTATTTCTACTCGTATAGTTAATTAA